TGAGTTCTAGTCCCGCCTTAGGCACGAAAGCCAACTGGGTGACTTTGCGCCAGTTCCTCTCTCTCCGACCAAACTACCTCACAAGGTTGTTTTTGTGGAGAAAACAGGAGGAAGGAATATTAAGTATGTTTGCCACCTTGAGTTATTTATATAAATAAAGGCTGGATAGAAAAATAAATTAAATAACTGCATCTTTACAGAATGAACACTATAATAATAATACAGGCGTTGCCCTTCATCCCAAGGGCAAATTCTTGAAAAATAGGGGATTTTTCTAAATTTCCCTTTTTAATGTTTTCAACTCGTTTTCAAGTTTTGTTTTCAACTTTTTAATCCTTTTCAACTCTTGGCAGCGTGTTACAATACAGATAATGCCCTCTTAAATTTGGGGATAGCTATACGAAGCTATATGATAACTTGCTGTGGGTTTAAATTCCACTCATGGTGCAGGCATATTGTCTGTGGGTGTTGGGTATTGTAGAGGGGCTCATCTAAAATAATATTTCTCAACCTTGGGCATTTTTAAGAGGGGCGGTCTTCAACTCCCACAATTCCCCAGCCAGCAGGCTTTAAGAAGCATGGCCTTCAACTCCCAGAATTCCCCAGTCAGCATGTTTTAAGATGCATATGGACTTCAACTCCCAGAGTTCCTGAATCAACATGCTGGCTACGGAATTCTGGGAACTGAAGTCCACCCATCTTAAAGTGCCCAAGGTTGAGAATCAAGAATGGAGACATTGCTAAATATCTCTTATCCAGTTAGAGACACACCAACACTTTCCAGAAAGGCTGCCATTCTCCTTTGCACATGTTGGAGAAACATCTTTGCAAATTCAAAACCAGAGCTATTTATTCCAACTTCCTCTTTTCCTAGATTGAAGTTTCCGAGTTAATTACTCAGCAAAAGCAGGCAAGAATTTTTTATTTCATTTCCTTCTCTGCTCAAGGCCATGTTATGATTCCTGGAAAGGCAAATTCTGTGAATTGCCCAGGGCCATGAAAAATACAGATAGATAGATAGATAGATAGATAGATAGATAGATAGATAGATAGA